ATTTAATACAAATTGTTTTAAAATTTTAATTTATTTTAGAATAAATAAAAATAAAAATTAATGTCACATAAAATTATATTATTTAATTAATTGAGAATATCGTTGTTCGATTAAATTCAATGTACCATATTGTTCACAAAAAAATTATGTAATTGATTTTCTATTGTGTTTAATAGATCATTTCCATTCTATTTTACGGTTTTTCAATGCATTTATATTTATATCTACTCATAAATCGATCAAAGTAGTTACAGAAAGATCAAGAAAATAGAAAAATGTAAGAAAAGTAAAAAAGATATATTTTATATGTTTGTATTTTTTATATTTTTAACTATAAAAACTTAAATATTAACAAAATAAATAGTCAGACGGCACAAGAGAGAAAAGTTAAAGTGATATTTCATGTAGCTAAAGAAATATTAAAATAAAAAAAAGAAGGAAAATAAATATTTTATATTGCATTTTAATTTAACTTGACAAATAAATTATGAAAAAAATGATATTTTAGAATGTCTTCCGTGTGCATATTAAAAAAATATATAAACAAATATGAGAGCGAATGTCACATAGTTTATTATACAAATAATTAAAATAAAAAATATCTATTTATTTTTTGCACGTAAGCGTATTAAAAAAACTGACAAACGGTATAGAAGTGCCCGTCTGGATGCTAGTAACAATAACTAAAAAAAATTTGGAGATAAAAGTTTTTCATGATGATATGCCAAAAATAATTATTAGTTTTCTTATTATTATGGATAAAAATTTATTAAAGATGAAATAACATTTTTTTAATTAAAATCTATTTTTGATCTCATGAATAGGAATATCGATTTGTATTTGTTGATCTATATTTCTGTGAAGATCTCCATGAAAATCATCTATTCAAGATTTTGAAGTTGGGGAATTTTTCTCCGCTAAGAGGAAGGCAGAAGGAATAGCTCTTCTATGGATATCTTGGGCCGGAGATCAGAGAAATACGCGGATTTTCTAATTCCAATCATATTATTTAACTTTTATATTTTACATATTATATAATGAATGAGACTTTAAGAGGAGGTTTTTTTTAACTTATTATAAATAATAGTTTTTAAATTAAATTTTATCGAGTAATGAATTAAGTAAAAATTATAATTTAACTATTAGATTAGATTTAATTAAAAGATTAGAATTTAGAGTAAGTTTAACCTCACTCGCATATAATAAATAATTACATAATTTTACATGTTTTTTTATTTAAAAATAATAATTTATTAAAAAAATAATATATTAGAATAATATTTTAGAAAATGATGAGGCAATTAGTGGATCACTTTATTTCGCTTTGCATTATAGGATACTTAACAATAGTTTTTTTTTTTTAACTTGACAATTTTAGTTTGTTATATTTTCTATGAGATATCTTAGTTATGAGTTTTTGGTTGATTTTGATGGTAGTGTTGGTGTTTCTGCAATCCTTCCTCTTAAAACTATTTGCTTATACCGTGGACTCATAATCGCATGAGATAGAAAATTCAGAGATTTGATTTGTTATTTCGATTCTACTCTCGCTATCTATGGACTCATAATGGCATGAGATAAAATAAATTCTGAGATTTAGTTTGTTATTTCGATTATACTCTCGCTATTCATTTAATGAAGACAGAAATTAATCATTGGCACTATTTTACATCTATTATTTTAAACTAGCGTTCAGACGGGCACTCCCATGCTCGTCTGTCCGCTTTTTTTAATGCGCACAACATAGAAAAATAAACGTGTGTATATTTTGTATGAAGTTTTTATCATATTTAAGATTAATTAAATGCATTTGTTTTTAGATATCCTCGAGCAATCTTAAAATCAGGATGATAAATGTATATTTACTAAAAATATTTTAGTGCATTAATTATACATTAATGCTACTATTATTTTAAACATACTGAATTAAATAAAATATAGATTAAAAATATGTTGTCTAAACATGCTAATAATATTATTACATTTTGAAAATGACAAACAAAGTTATTCTAAATTATATTAAATAATCGAAGAACACAAAGTACTATTTATAATATGTAATCAATAACGTTCTTTAAGAGGAAGGCCGAACATAAAATCTTTATCTTGAGAATTTTCTCTCTCCCTGCAATTGTTTTCCGTAGTAAAGAAAAAAATGTAAGACTCTCACATTAGAATTGCTTTAGAGAAAAATATAGTGAAAGTAATAGTAATTAGTGTAATATATTATTTTTCTACCTTGTAAAGATTCGAATCAATTCTTCGCACATCCCTTTATCGATGCGCTCTTGAGCTTTAAAAAACTACAAATACATCATGAAATATCATATCAACAAAGAAATACATTCAAAACATGTGACTTGTTTGATTATAATCTGGTGTACTGAGCCATAAATAAATGTATACCTGAAGAATGTACATATTTTGTTTTAGTTCAGATTTGGTAGAACAACAACTTGACTTATTTTTGAATTACGTGAATTTCTGGTGAAAAAGGAAAACAATGGATTTAGTGAATATACATGGTTTTATTTACACAAACCAATAGTAAAAGTAAAACTCATGCATTCAAAAATATTTTATGGATAAATATTATTAAATGAATAAAATAAAAACTTGTCCATCCTTTGAGATATTATTTCTTTTTTCACCATTTTTCAAAGTTGTGTTTTATCTGTTATCACTGTGGAGCTCCAACCGACAGAGTAAACTTTTAGACACTTGACCTGTTTTAATAAGGATGGTAAAAGTGTTAGTGAAAGAGTGGTGAAAATGCAACAAACTGATTTTTTTATACATGGTGCGAAAAAGGTAAATGCACCTTATTGTTTAGTTTGCCGATAGATGAAATTGTTTGTTCATCCTTCCATGTGTTCCATTAATCTTTAAAGTCCCCCATCTAACATTTATTCCGTATAAGAATAGTGAGAATAAGTATGATCCAATTGATTGATTATATTAAAAGCACAAAATAAATGATTAAGTATAACTTACTTTTATGTCGAAGCAAGTTTCAACATTCTTCCGTCTCAGCTCCTTACATAATTGGAAGACTTTACTGTGTTCTAGTTTGGCTGTATATCAAAGCCACACAATTTTATACTTAGTTATACTTAGTTATTATCATATAAAGAATACAATATAATATTGGTATTTCGTGTAACTAAAATGTGAATCAATGTGAGATTATTTTTTTTAATGTACGTAATGATACATGCGGGTGCGATAAAAGAATTTGTTTAAAGACTATATTTTTTGTGTAGTCACCATCTTCTCCTTCCAATTTTCCTTCCTTGGATAAAACTTTTATTGTAGTTTGTGAAACACCTCTGGATAAAGCCACATATAATTGTCCATGATTGAAAACATGTCGTGGAAGATATATTCCAACATGTGGGATGGTTTGTCCTTGTGACTTATTTATTGTAATTTCAAAACTTAGTCACACAGGAAACTGCTTTCTACTAAGGACAAAAGGCAACCCATCACTGGCCGATGTTTTTATTTTAATTCTGGGCAAGAAAGCTCGTCTTCCTGCGTTGTTTCCTGTCAAGATATCCACATCCAACATATTCATATATAACCCACGACATAATAACCGCGTGCCATTACACAATCCATATCTAGGATCTAGATTTCGCAACAACATCAATGGTGCACCCTTTTTATCTTTAGAATATGTGGGGGGAAACTACCTTGTGCAATTGAGTTTAAGAATTCTTGCTGGTATAAATTATTATTATCCCCTTCAACCTCGTCAAATGATAACAAATTATGTTCTTCTCCTGGAAACTGGTCAATAATTATATCATTCAATTTTTGGACATCATCGTTTGTTGGGGTCAAAATAGCTCTTTGTACAATATAAAGGGCATCTCAACCATGCAATTCTAAATCAGGAAAAATATGTTGTATAAGCACCTGTATGGAATGTTCACCTTCCCATGGGACTGCAATCTGTGAAGGCAACCTCACCATGTCATCTGGTTTGATAGGTTCAACACCATCACCAATGCACATAAGAAATTCTGCAAACTCTTGATCATGTAATGATCACATATTTTGATGCAATCGCAAAATTTTGGTATGAGCCCATAAATGAGACTAGAAATCATTTGTACCTTAGTACCTTTTCTTACAACAGAAAGAACTTGACGAAAGTCTCCCCCCATGATCATAACTTTTCCTCCAAATGGAGCATTTATCTACAAATGTCTTGTAATAATTGATCTAAGGCTTCCAAACAATTTTTGTTTATCATTGGGGCTTCATCCCAAATTATTGCAGAAGAAACCCTAATGAGATTTGCAAGATCGTTTTGCTTTTGAATACCACAAATGGAACTCGGTTGTATATCGATAGGTATCTTAAATCGAGAGTGTGCAGTTCTACCACCGGGTAACAACGTTGCAGCTATACCAGATGATGTAGTTGCCAAAAAAAATTCTCCTCTACTTCTTAAAATTTCCATTAATGCTCTATAAAGGAATGTTTTACCTGTTCCTTCTGGACCATCAACAAAAAATACCCCACTGTATTTTTGATCAATTACATTCATAATGGTTTTGAACCCAATCACTTGGTCATTATTTAACTTTGCAGCAAATTCAATATCTTCATTGGGGATATTGACCGTTAACTCCTCATGTATGACACTTGGAATCGAATCTCCTTATACTGTATCAAGTGGTAAAGATGAGAGATCATAATCTTCAATCTTTTTACCGTGCAGGTTTAAGAGTTCATTCAAGTCCTTCAACAACATATTAGTCAAGACCGATTCCATAACATTGTTTGTTGTTTGATAATCCTCTGTCATATGTGTAAAACACTCATTTCAAAGGCTTCTAACATCAGTAGGTTCACAAAATATGAGAATCGTCACGAATAACCTCCTTAAAGCATATGGCATTCGGAGACTCGCTGCTTCAACCAAACAATCATGAATACTATGATCAGTCTCTAGAAATCCTCTATCCTCGGCTGATTTTTTGAATGTACTAAGTGCCATTATTTGTAAGAAGATATTCCCAACTGGTTGGACCTATGACATGAGATAACAGTACTCGCAAGTAAAAATTCTCTCCCTCCAAAGGTGATACCGTATAGATTCTTCCGATAACTTTTCTTAGTGACTGCATGCAATGCCATTCCTTGTCCCTATTATTCCAACAATAATGCTCTGGAATCTCTCTATACAGATAATTTCTTGCTTCTGGATCTCTTAGATTTAAAGCAAAGAATTGTGTGAGCATTGTTTTGGAATTGAGTTCATTATGTAACAAATCCACAATTCACTGATGATCATAAAAGCACACTTGATGGCGGTTCGGCAAGTGGATCTATAATCTTTCAACAGAAGGATATAATCAGTAAAGAGTGAAGCAAAATATTTTCCACAATTCCTCGAGAGCACAAATCCATCTTGCATCAATATATTGTTGAACTTCATCCATGTATGATCCTTTGTGAACCTCCATAGCCACACGATCAGGGCCCTTGTACATATATTTGTATATATACTTGATACTTTTAATGCTACTGCGAATCTCTACATTGATGTGGCAACCATACTTTAACAGTAACCAAGGATTATAAGGAACCACCCATCTATTGTCGACAAACCTACCGCTACCTAACGATATAGGTTCATGAAACCTTCTCCTGTACTCAGGATATGAGTCAGTGCCTTGACGTGTTTCATCCAAGAATTGTTTTGGATATATTTTTTTTACAATGTCCGTCTTCCATACATAGGGACTTCCGATTCATAACGCCGCAAGGTCCATGGATCATATGTTTTAGAACCGCTTCATGAAACTGTGACTCACATTCTAACTTAGATATTTCTGCTCTTACCACACTATCATACTCTTCTGGCCCACGTTTGTCGTTACTTTCTAAGACTAACAGCATATGCACATGCGGCAATTCTCGTTTTTGAAATTCAGTGACATACATGTAGCTTTTAACCTTTCCTAAGACTCCTTTATTAATAACATCATCCTTTAATTACTCGAATTTCGAACGAAATATTCTTGTTAGAAAATCTGGACGATCTTGTGGTGTTTGAAAAGGCAAAAGTTCTGATGTTATATCGCTCCAAGAAGGATTGCATATCATTGTCAGAAAAATATCTGGTTTATCGCCATGAAGAACAATAGCCATGCCATCTTCATAGCGTTGTGTCATGTCTCGACGACCTCCAATAAATGATGATGGCAATATTGTTCTTTTTCCAATGTTTTCTATCGTGATTCATGAAATGTATTAGTTTCAGTATACATGAAAGATTATCATTATAAGTACAACAACTAATTAGTAATCTAAAAATATATATTTATGCTACATTATTTAGTACATGCATTAGTTTCACCAACATGCAAAGCATCCTGTAAACCTTGGTACACTTCAGCACGTATATCACGTTGGTGCTCTCTAATCCACCTTAACCTCCCTGATTCAATTTTGACATAATTGTCTACAACATATTGTTGCAACAGTCGGCCGCATTTAACAATATTGTTTGATCATTTGGGAGAATCTACAATTGATTGAAAAACATGTCGGCGTTAAAAGTGATGTGTTTTAAACTATGCTTATCTAAGTATACTATTTACTAAAATTAATCTAAATTTACCTGAAACATGTAACTGTAATATACTCGACATGACAATCTTCGTCCATTACAATTTTTTGTGTTAACGTCCCAACCATGTGTCCCAAATGGAAACAATATAGGATACTAACACAGATCATAATATCCCTTTGTCTCTTGAACTTTCTTTAGATTTCCATCACGACGAATGACATTAATATTCCTTCCATATTCCATAGAATCTGAATCTCCTCCAACAATAACTGTCGCAACTTGTTCTGCAGTTGAAAGATTATATTGATGGTGATTACTTGGACGCTCTTTAAGTATGAAGCTACATTCACCGATATTTGGAAGTTGTGACAGTTGTCTGAACCTAATTACAAAAGGATTAAACTGATGGAGCATTTTTTGTAATTTTGAACTACATTTTGGTGGAGTTGTGGATTTTCCTGCATTCTATTATGTAGCTCATTATCTGTGTTATAGATGTATAGCTGTAAGAAACGCGGTCTGGCGCCCTCATTTGGATAGAAACCTCCTATGTTATGGTAAAAATCACCTTGAGCACGAAATGTATATATATCACAACCAGATGCAAGAATATTCTCATCAATGTGAGCACCAATTGAAGTGAATGAGAACACATGGTTGTAACTTCGAATATGTTGCCTAAAATTCCTTCCTTCTACTGAACCATCCAAAAATAATTGTTGCAATTCTATAGGAGCATTAACTCGTGAAAATGATACCTTTCCACCAGTACAACACGCATCACGTGATTAATGATGAAACAATTTTGCATTGCAATATTTACAGGAAATTGGATTAGACAACTGGGACTTTGCCATCATCGAATTATTTTTGAAATTTCGAGCAATATTGTGTCTTACTCGAAAAGCGCGTTCTGATTCTACAGGAAGGAGTTTAATATTGATTACTAAATATTATCTAAAATCTAAAATACAAATAAATAATTAACGCAAGATTCCTAAATTAGAAGATTTAACATTGCATAATTTTCAGTTTTATGTCACTTGAGTATAAGCTACATTATTTGGCACAAAAATGTTTATGAACATACCTTGAGGATGACATGATGCACCATCATTTATGGCTTCCTTGTTAACATTTGATATTACTGCATCCTCCAAAGCTTTATCAACATCCATATCGCCTGATACAAAAATAATAATTAACATATATATATATATATATATATATATATATATATATATATATATATATATATATATATATATATATATATATATATATATATATATATATATATATATATATATATATATATATATATATATATATATATATTGAAATTACTGCTCACATACGTAGAACAATATCCCGTATACCTGTAGCAAAGTGACTATTGTTGATACGTTGGTTAGGTGATGTGCAATTATGATCTGCGGGTTTAAATACATAAAATGAGAGATGACAAATAAACAATATTATACAATGTACGATTATAATGTCTATATTGATCATCACCAACCAAGTGCAACATCATTAACATGTGTAATTCTACTTAGGTCGGCTTCATTGTCATGAGTTCCTTGAAAATGTGATATTTGAGATCTCATATTTATAAAACTTTGAAATGGAACTCTCCTCCGACTGTTCATAGTGCGAGATGTTTGAGCTTGTTTATCTTGCTCTTTTTGTCGCCTATAATTGTCACGTCGTATCGATAAATAATTTTCTCTTTGCTCGATGTTCATATTTTGTCTCCTTTTCCTTTCATTTTCGACTCTTCTTTCCCTTTGTTGTTGACTTGATATCTGACGGGTATTATTTTCCATTTTGTTAATGTAACTGCCAAACACATATGCAATTTATAAGCAACATAATTTCATTAATTATGTTGAAAAATATTGGTAAATATAGATGGTATTTAAAATAAATATATTTTTTTTTGGAAAAAAGAAGTTTATACCAAAAAATATTATTTGTAAAATATATGTTAAAAATAAAAATCAAAACTAAAATATAAAAAAGACGAAGAAGAAATGGGCAATCAATAAAAAGAAACATAAATTATGTTGGACAAATAGATGAAAAGATTGCATATTAACTAAACATTAAAATATAAAATGGGGTAAGAAATGAAATTAGTGTAATTTATGTTATATATAAAAGATATATTAAAATAAAATGAGAAAAGATAGTGTTATATTCCTTGTAGGTTCATAATAATATTTTTATATTACTCCAAATTATTTTATATTTTAGTTAACTCATAATATTATCATTGAAGCTTTTTTCACTGATCAAAAGTAAATTTTTATCTTTTTATTAATTAGTACAATAATTATGTATACTATGAGTGTTAAAGAATATCATTTATTTAGTTCATTTTAGCACACACACTTGTGATATAAAATGTGCATATAATAGTTATTAGATAAATTTATATACCATGAGTGTGCATTAATATGCTAGTAAATTATAGAGTAGTAAAATATAGTAGATAATTATGATAAAATACGTTATTACTATGAGTGTGCATTAATACCAAATATGCGTGTGCACTAATTTATATTACAGATATGCATATAATACTCTTAACCTTAACTACTATTAAAATACGATATTAATGCACACTAATATTAGATAAAAAAAAAAACACTCTATTAATCTTATTCATTTTAACGTAACTGTAATAATCCAATATTATGAGTGTAGCTTCAATGAAAATCTTTTTAAATTATGTATAAAAGTTCATTTTAGTACAATAATTATAATTTATTAATTTCGTACAACCCTTGGATAAAATTGTTACACTTATTTAGCGTATATGCTAGCTCTCAATTGTTATAGTTTTTTTTAGTATGTTACAGTTATTTCTAAATACTATTAAGTATGTTACAGTTATTTAGAAATAACATTCTCTCTTAAAATTGTTACAGTTATTTCTTACTCTAAAATTGTTACAATTACAGATGAATTTATTTAGTATGTTACAGTTATTTCTAAATACTCTCTTAAATGAATTTTTTCAAAGCTACAATTATTTAGCGTATATGCTAGCTCTCAATTTCTAAATAACAATTTTATTTTTTTTCCTAACACTTGGATAAATAATATACAACCAACTGTTTACTCAACTGAAGATAAAAAAAAATTGTTGATGAATAATTCACATAACTTAAAAACCAATGGCTAGCAGTTACAAAAGCATCATAACCGACAAATACATCAAACATTCTAAAAAAATTAACTGCAATAGAAAATGAAAAAAAAAATTGATAACCGAAGCCACTTAAATTATAATTCCTGCATCTCATTGATATAAATATAAATAAACTTTTCTCTAGCAATTTAATGTTTACCTAAGAATTATAAGAGGTTGGTGTATAAATAACTTATAAGAGGTTATATAGCGTATTTGGGTTTACATAACTTAAAGGTGTGATAACCAAACTAATTATAAAACAAAAGAAAAACTTTTATTTCTCTTAATCCATAAACACACTCTCTTAATTTTCATATTAACTTTTCTTTCGCATTTCTATTAGATTTTATTTTTTTATTTTTTTTAATGTTTATGTTGGAATATTCACCCTTCCAATTCACAATACTCTAACAAAATAAATAAATAAAGATCAACCTAAACATGTTTAATAAATTCATTCAATTATATCTAAAAAAATACCTGGCAAAAATAAATTCTCTTGATAATGAAGTAATGTACTACTCATTTCACTGCAATAATGGAGTTACTTAAGCCTTCACAAAGCAAGAGAGAAAGAGAAATAATTAATTTGAAAGTAACTTGACAAAGTAAATATGAAATATTTGTGAGTGACTCGGAGATATTGGTTTTGCAAGCGAGAGTAGGTAGTATGGACGTAAATAATATAGAAAGGGCAGTTGGATTGAAATTGGTGGGAAGTTATTTTTGTACAATTATCATGTAGTGTTATTAAATAAATGGTTTTGTGAGAATTTTAAACAATATGTAAGGGACAAATATGGAACAAAAATGAGAGTAATAAAATTGAATGAAATGCATTCTATCATGTTTCACTCTATTTTATCCTCTTTTTTCCAATCCAAACAATGAAATATAATATTATTTCATTTTATTATGCTCTATTATGTCGCATTCCGTCAATTCAAACATAACCGTAAGGAAGATGAATATAGTTAATTATCATTTGGCTATAATTCCGTTGCTAAAAATAAATACAATTTAATAGTAAATATATAAGAATTATAAATCAGACAGACAAATTTAAAGATGAAACTGTATGGTTTGTAGTAGAGCATTAGTTGTATAAAAAATGAGGCACCAATTTTTATTTATTATTGATTGAAACTGACAAAATAGGATGTCAATTGGCATAGAAAATGTAGTTACCATATGAAAGATAAATGAGGGTCTTGATCTAGACTTATTCTTAACATAATTCATTAACACGGGCAAAGTAAAAAAAATAATATCAGAATGAGTTTGTTGAGAGCCTTGAAACAAAGGTACCTGTGAAGATTGAATTCTCTTGATAAATTATAGATGAAGTAATAGATCAATTATTTGCGCTCCAATAATGGAGGTATGCACGGTTTGACAAAGAAAGAGAGAGAGATGGATATGATTAATTTGCAAATAGCTTGACAAATTGAGAGAAATAGTTTGTAAATGGCTTGGAGAGAGACTCACTTTGCATAAAGGAGTTAGTATGAACGTTAATAATAGGAAGGACTATTGGAAATAGTGGGAAGTTACTTTTTACAATTATTATTTAGTATTAATAAATAAATCATGTGAGAAATTAAGCATTAAGGTAAAAGGTAAATATGGAATAAATATATGAAATTAAGCATTAATAAAGGGTAATTTCGGAACAAAAATAGGTTACACCAAAAAGTTGTATCCCCTTTATATATAGTTATAGGTATTAGGGAGTTGTTGGAGAGAGACTAACGAATCCTATTTTTAGAGAGAAATTAATGTTGTAGTTGATTGCTTGGCTAAGATTGGGGCTATTGGACTATTTCCTTGGTCTGAAATTTCATCTTTCTAAAGATGAATAAAAAAATATCATTTGAAATCGCGCTCTTACAATTAAATATCTTTGTAGGATTTGAATTCTCTCATTTTTTATATATCATGTCATCTCTTATGTTTCTAATCTAACGGTTCAAAATTTATAATGAATAATTAAATAAAAAAAAGTCATTTAATAGAAGAGAGAAATGGATAAGTAATTTGTCTTTGTTGCTCCACAAAATCAACAACCATAACTGACTTTTTTTATTTAATTATTCATTATAAATTCTGAAATGTTAGATTAGAAACATGAGAGATGACATGATATATAAAAAATAAGAGTATCCAAATCCATCTTTGTAAGAGTTAACTAGAAGAATATTTGTGCTCCCGT